TGACTGAATGAGGCTGAGCACCAGGTTGCAAAAACTGTTACTGATTTTGTGTACCTTACTGTTCAGCATTATCTATCATAAGGTATTTTATTTATAAATTAGAATCGTATTTCACTCTTTTAAATAATTTCCTTTTAGTTAAACCCCACTTTGTTTGTCAAACAGTGTGACACAGCAATTCAGTAATCAAAATGTCCTTTAAATGAGAACTGTTTTGGAAGAAGAGGCATCCTGCTGAATGCAGTTTGAGATAGAAAGTAAACTTGTAAACCAAACTGTTTGCATATGTGGCTTATGCCTCTTCAAATTCTTGAAATCAGACAAACATGAAAAAAAAACAGGGCTAGGACTGAGTCCAAGAATTATGTCAATTAGACCTACTCTAGAAATCATTCTGTTTCAGTGGAATTTTTATTATTATTATTATAATATTTTATTCCTTTCAGAAAGAATTCCCTTGGAATTTTAGAATCCATAAAAAGCKTCCCTCTGTTGGAATGTCAGTCACYGATAGTCAGCATCGGTGATGGTACTTCCTAAGCAGGGCGGTTGTGCCCTTGTGCAGTCCCTTGTCTGTGTGCCTGGCAGGCAGGGTCCTGCTGTGACCCAGTGCAGGGGCTCAAAGAAGTGACCAGGCTGAAAACTGAAGTGCGAAAAAGGAAGAGGGGAGAGGGAAAGTACTTCATTTTTACCTCGCTGATCAAGATTTCCATGTGGTCAAATGAATGCTCTTATAACAGCAAGGGAAGCAGTAGAAAGTTCACAGCAGGAGACAAGAAGTGATCCTCCTTTGGCTGTAGTCTGCAATTGTGTTAGCATAAGGTGAACCTGAATTAGTCAGCTGGAACTGCAGCCTAATTTTTCAGCTAAAAATTAGGAATTGCGGTCTGTTTATTCTGTTGTAGATCTTTTTGTATTATTTAGGTTAATTAGCAATGTATTGCTGGGGGTTGATCAGCAGGAGTTTATTCAGTTGAAAACCAGTCTTTGAGTGCATAGCTCTACTGGCCTGCCTTAGAGCAGACTTTAGGAAGAATTCCTGCAAAAGTGTTTCTATGGCCCTGCTTTTCTTAAAACAAGATACGGTGTGCAGTGTTGTCTGCAGAGTGAGACAGATCATTTTCTGTGGAACTTGCTCCCAATTTACAGAACTGTGAGGGAAGAAAAAGGCTACATTCCTATTATTCGATTATTTTCTTCTTTCCTACTTATGTAGTCTTTCTGTTCTCTCCATCTTCCCTGTCTACACAGGTCTGAGTCTTTCTCTTTACTTGATGTAATCAGAGGAAGTGAAAGACCAAGACAGAGACTTTTGTATCTTTGCTCTTCTTCCTTTTCCTCTTTGAAGAATTTGCTGGAGTTCAGTTAACCAAAGGAGCTCCAATGCWAGGATTTGTCACATTCCCACAGAGAGTCTGCCTGGTTTGCTCGGGGGTCTGCGCTGTTAGCTAGCCATGATGTAGTGCTGCGTGGGGTAGTTGTACCTTGTGGCCRAAAGGGACCGGAATGTTTATCAAAAATGGGGAGAGAAAACTCTGGGCTGTGATACAGTAGAGCCAAATTGGACTGCAATGCAGTGTTAGTTAGTGGTGGKGTGTGTGTGTGTTTGTTTGTTTGTTTTAAAAAAGGCCTTTCTTTAGTTTTCTTCTTCTAGTCTTCCCTTCTGGGAGCTCTTTGCACTCATTATCTCCAGCGGACATCTCCATTCTTATTTTATTATTMTTTATTTCTTCTTACCTATTTCCACTTTTTTGATAATGAGGAAAGAATTTGTTTCTTTCCCCTTCTGCCAGGGCCTCCCATGCTTCTGACCGCTGTAGGCCTCTGCTGTCTGGCTTTTTAAGGTTGGATCAACTGCCAAAAGAGCCCTCAGGAGTCCGTGTTTTTTTCTTCAGACCCAGGCAGTCTCAATTCATCTGTCTGCTAAGGTTACCGGGTCAGTCTTTTTTCTCCTAAGTAACTTGCTACTTTTGTTGCTCTGAAGTGCGTTGTGACAATCACACTATCAGACTGTTCCAACTGCAGATCTGTGAGGTTGGTTTCTCTCTTCTCCTCTCCAGGAGATCTCATAGTCCCAAGCAATTCTTGCTGAGAGTTCATCTGAATTCTGCTTGGACAGAAGCCAGATCCATGAACTCAATCTGTTCGATCAAGGAGTTGTAAAAAATAAGATGTCCCATGTTACACGTTGTAAGGATAGGAAAGGAGGGAACAGCTGTCACTGGCTGCAACTTCAGTCTTCTGTCAGCCAGTGCTGGTGTCTTTTTCCTTCATCTTCTTTCAGTCTAATTCAGCTGGCGCTACCTGAGTCAGGGCTGAGACTTAGGACCCACAGCTGGAGAGGAGAGCCCATATGTAGTCAGTGTGCCCATATATGAGACACCATCTCAGTGCCCATATAGAGCCCCGAGTTCCCTCTGCTGCTGCAGATATGCAGGCTCTCTTGCTCTGCACAGGTTGTATGTGAAGAGGAATTTAGTGGAGAGATTAGTCTGTTATCATTTCCTTGGATACAGCAAGAGCTGCCCGTAAGTCCACTGGGAAAAGGAGACACAGTTCAGACCAGCACTCAAATAAGGAATTGTAAGTGACTCGCTTTCTGAGATGTGTACGTATTGCTTTATTTGCACACWGTTCCTTTATTCCTTTCTCCTGCAGCATCCTTTGTACCAACAGTCTAGTTGGTTTGGAAATGTCTAGGAATTTTTTTCAGAATTTGCAAATTCTTGAGTCAAAGTATCACTTTCTTTGACTCAAGATTGCTGTAGGGTTTTAGAAGTGCTAATAAATTAAAAACATAGTGGTTTAGTATTTACTGTTTTACTTGCTATTCTTAAATAGGCAGAGATGTTGAGGCACATCATGAAAAAAATGTGGTGTTTTTTTTGTCAAATTCATTGGAGAAAGAGAGCAGTAAAACGGTTTTACGATGAGGTGTGAGTTGGCCTGGGCAAGAAATGGGCGACAGGGTTGGAGAGGGTGTGGGCTGCTCAGGGCCCTTGTTACAGCCCCCAGGGAAGGGGGGAAGCACTCGCTGGTGTCTGCTGTGGGGCTCGCTGTGCTGAGAGTTACTGGGTGCTCCCTCAGCGCCGGCTGTAGCCAGGAGTCTCAGCCCGGGAAGGGCTCTGCGTCCTCGGCCTCCAAGAGTCTCCTCCATGTTGCAGACACAGGCCCTGGCTGGGGCGCAGCCAGCATCGTTCCCAGTGTCCGGCTCCCTTCCCGCGTAAAGGGTTTCCGCCTCCGCTTCTGTGCCTGCCTGCGGATGGGGCTGCAGGGGAGGGCTGAGAGGAGACCTACTCAACCCGAGTCCCACAGGGAGYTGGGACCAAAAAAAAAAAACAGAAAAAAACCCAAAACCCAAGAAGTGAAGAGTTTGTCCAGCAGAGGCTGGATGGAGCACGCTGTAAACTCTACTGCATAAAGGACTGGTTCAGCTCCTGGTTATTCAGTGTCCTGTGATCATTTTAAATGGTGGTAAAGTTCTGCTTGCTCTCTGTTTATTCCTGCTGCAGTTCAGTGCCTTCGGTTTTGCTGATGCAGCCGTTCGTGGGAGTGTGCTGCAAATCGGATCAGTGATAGATGGAAAGAGAAAGTTCATTTCCTTTGGTTACACTGAGGTAGTCCTRCAGAGAGTTGCCTCAGCAGCAGCTGAGGGAGTGGTGAAAGGAGATGAGTAAGGAGGGGAGGAGATCGTCCTGAACTCGTTTTACCACTAATGCAAATGTGTGTCATGCTTCCACAGGCTTGCAGAGGTGGGGCAAGGTGATTAACAGCTTCCCTTCTTCCAGTGAAGGAAGTTCCATCTGCATGTGGAGCTTGRGGGCAGCTAGCCCTCAAGATGCAGTTTAGCTGTATGAATTTCAGGAATCAGGTCCTTTATTCCTTAAATCAATTTGGGTGATCCATTCCTGAGGCCTTGCAGCATCACAGGCTCCTTCATCTGCTGGCTTGGCAGTTAGCTGATACGGGAGAACAGAACTGTGCAGGGAGGCCAGGCAAGATCTGCGCTTATGCCRCGTGTCTCCTTCCATTTGAAGGATATAGTATTAAGTTTGCATCTGATGATATGTTTTTTTCTCCCTTTTTATTAAAGAAGTTTGTTAGATTAGTGTGTTTTGAGTTGTCTCTGATTTGTGAATGTATAAAGGTTGCAATAATCTGTTGTGCTGTTTCCTTGCCTGTCGTTTGGAGCAGTTCAAGTGAAGTATTTGTTAAATCTGTCCCATTTCTGTCATCTCTGAACTCATTTGGGTTTGGTTCACAGTAGTCTAGAATCAGATAAACTTAATATTGAGGAATTAATAGCGTCAGCTATAACGATAAGAGTATACTGATGTGATCCTGGTGGAACAATATGTTGTGAAACTTCCCATTTCAAGGCAGCCAGTCTGCAGGAATTTCTAGGATGGCTCAGCTTTGCAGTGCCTTTTCCTAAACAGAAACCAAGATTGTTCCTGTTGTCCTCTCCTGTCTAATAAGCAAGCTTTTTAGAAAGAATAAATGAGAATCAACCGTGACTTTGTGAAGCCTGCTAGCATATGGGCACCTGTACTAATCATCTCTGTGGTGCGTCTTTGTGATTGACTCTGAGATCCCAGGAGAAAGAAGTATGGGAGGGAATCCTTGGATTGTGCCTAGGTTCCTTCTCAGCGAGTAAGCCTGCCGTGGGCTGCAGTTTTGGAAGGCTTCTGTCCGAGTTTCCAGGGTAGGAAATCTCCCAATAAAACTTGGAGGTAGAATTGCAGAGAACTTAAACAGTAGAGTAAATATCCAAATAAAAAAGCTTTATTTCTGATGGTCTAATGAAAACATTAATAGTCAAGTAAGGGCTAAGGGTAAAGATATCAATTAACTTTTAGAAAATAATTTGTCTCTTTCTTCCCCTCCTCCCCTTTTTTTTCCTTCCCCTAACTACAGATAACTTTAATTTGTGTGGTTTCTTTTGCAATGCTCCTATGATCATTCCATTTTTTTATTTTATTTTTGCTTTTTTTTCCTAGAGATGTGAATTATGCCCTCATAAGGATGGTGCTTTAAAGAGAACAGATAATGGGGGTAAGTTTTATTCTTATTTTTTGTGAACTCTCTTACCTTATATGAGGAGAATAAGACTGTGAAAAGAATACATAGGAATCCTAACCATAAACCAAAAAAAGCAACTAGTTTATCAAGCTAGATGGTTTGGAAAGAGGGAAATAATTCACAATAGACTTTACTTGTCCAGTTTAGGTTGAATTTAGTTTGAGAAAATCAGTCATTATTTTTAGCTTGATTTTTAGGTAAGAGTAATGGAGAAACTGCATTTTAATACAGGGTTTTAATATTAAGGTTTGACAGAGATAAAGGATAAAATGCGTATGTATTTAGATGGAGTTTGCACATTTATAGAAAGCTGTTGGAAGTGCATCCTTCATTCTTATGCATGAAGGAGAGCGGATTTTTAAGTCCATAGTGCAGACTGAATGCAGCAGTACATTTTAAAAGGATACTCTTCCATGCACGGCTTACTAATAGGTTCTGCAACAAAGSAGTTGGAGCAGAGAAGTTGGAGCAATGATTTACTGTGCCCTGCATCTTTCTAATTGCATCAGTGAGGATAGCAATTCTGTTCCTGCTGAGCAGAACTGCTACAGGAAGTCTGCTGAAGAGTCTGTCTGGGTTATATTTTTACTAATAGATGGCAGGTAAAAAATTAATTATTTGATTACTTTTGCAAACCCTTATTCTGTTCTTACCAGATACCTCCACATTCTAGTTCCTCATCTATCTTGAGCTAGCCTAGTCTTTTGACAGTGAGACACTCCTATGGGGACAGAAAGGATCATCAGCCCTCTAGACTTTGTTTCCACAGTCTGTATGTTTTATATTCTGAAGTTTTTTTCTGCATACCTAATTCTCTAACTAAATTTGTGTTTTACTTCAACTTAGTGTTGATGTGGTTGATGCAGCTTTGCTCTTTGTGTAGCTGTTGAGTTACGGGAGCACAGAGCCCCCCTGAGCGCGGGTTGCTCTGGGCCTGCCCTTGGGCTCGCTTGGCCACGGGGAGCGTCCTGGCTTTGCTCACTGCGGCGTCGGGTCGTCTCGTGAGTGTTGGGCCGTTTGTGGCCATTGGCGGGGTGTGTTGAGCCCGTGTTGCCTCTGTTTCAGTGAAGGTCTCTTAAGTACCAGTCTGGGGTGTTGCTGTGAAACGCTGCTTCCTCTCAAAGGCTGCTCACATGGCAGGGTTGAATTCATTTCTTCAAAATGCCACTCAGACACTTGCCAAATGAGCTATAAGAAAGTCTCAGCTTTTGGAAGCTACAGTATTTTTTTTGAGCTAAAAATTAATTGGAGAACTGAAGTGTTGCTGTTTTTACAGCTAGTAGTGKTCAGGAATGGCTCATTTTTCTGTATGTTTTTCTTTTTTTTTGGCCCCCGTGTCATCTTGAAGTCATACTTTGTCAGTGTACATCAAAGATCTGAACTTAGCTGTTGAGATCTGATAATCTCTCGCAAAAAATTTAAGATTCTAATTTTTGAGAGTTACATTTGAATTCCTATCTAAAAGTAATTTCCTGTGTAAAATGGAAATTGTTTAAGTAGAAAAGATATTAGGTCTCCTTTTCATGATGGAACATTTTCATCAGTATGATGGGCTGTTACAATTTAGACATATTTCAGACATGGAAAACATAGTTCTGTGGATAGAACACAAGTTAAATGTAAGACAGTTTTAATGCTTTTCACACTGGAGTTGCATGACTTCGRCTGTCGCTTTTGTAACTTGGTCAGGTACCAGAGTTGTCACTTCGGAGATGAAGGCAGYGACCACAAGTGACCAAGACACTTGCAACAGTCTTTGAGTGCAGTCTCCGGTCTCGGCTCCCGCTTCTGCTCTACTGCTTAGGCATTGTGCCGTTTTGGATGCGAGTTCCTATTGCAGTTGGAGGAATATACTGGTTATAGGGTATCTTTCTTTTATCATACCTATAGGAAATACTTCCAGTATTTGATTTGAAAATCAGTTTTTGTCGACTCATGTTGTTGGACAGGTTTTGTTCAGCTGTCTCGCGTATATTGCAACAGGATTTTCAAGTCAAGGTATTACTGAGATTATGTTTCTGTCAACCCTGGTGAGTTTACAAAAACTTAAAACTTCATAGCAGAAAGATCTTAAYATCTGAAAAGTCTGAAGACAGTCCCCCTTCTGTAATGGGTCTTACAGGTACTCAACGCAGCAATTTCCATCTTTTGGACCAAGAGTGCTTTAAATGAAAGCCTTATAGAGGGATGTGAGCTTGGCCTAGTTTTGCCTTTCTGAAATCTGTGTTAATCTGAAGCTTTCCTTTTTGGAGCTGTTCTGCTGTACGTTTTACGTGGAGCCTGGCAGTGTTAGCAGCAGATGGTGGAAGAGGAGGACAAACATAGCATGGGGGCCAAAAGCGTTCGGTCCACGCTCTTCATCAGTATTAAACCAGATTTTTAGGAAAGCCCAGTCGTTAGATGCTCTCTCGGGTTCGTTTCCCAGCTAGAGGCTGGCATTTTTGCTTTGAGACCTCTCGATCCAGAGGAGGTATCTTTGTGTTTAGTGTGTGGTGGATTCTTGTTCCATTAATTGGTTGAATTAGGAATTTTCCATGTCCGTAGTGTCACGAGGCAGGGAGCTTCACAGCTGATCTGCGCATGGTGTGAAAATGTGGAGTGGTTTGCCTTGAGCCTGGTGCTGTGCTGTGTTATTTGATGCCATGTAGCATTTGCCTAGGAAGTGGAAATGAGCAGTTGTTCTCATTACCTCATCTGGTTTATAGATCTCTGTCATATTCCTTTCGTGGCTCCTGCCTGGCCCCAGACTGGTTGGTTGAATATCCCTTGCACAGAAGTCTGACTGTTGCATTTCACCTTCTTTGTATCTTTTTTTTCTGTGATACATGATCCTTACCAGAGCTGAGTATGAAATTATAGAAATGCAAATCTGCTGCACTCGAGGCCATGGAGTGTCCAGGCTGTAAAATGATTAGTGTGATCTAGTGTTGTCTAATGCAGACTGCAAATACAACTATGGGTCACCATTTTTTGGGTATAAATTTTGTCATTAATTATAAAGTATTTTTACTAGTCTGATCATATAAACTTATCTTGAACCAGGAGTAGATCCTGAAATTGGGATAAAACTTGTCATATTTGAATGAGATATCTGTTTGAAAAATGCTCTTAAAATTGCATGAACAATTTCCCGTATCTGCTTTGAAAACAGAAGACCTGGATAACTCAAATTTTTGAAGCATTGGCTGTTTTTACACCATCATTAACTCTTGACTATTTAAGTTTTTGTGTGGGGGTGGAGCAAGGGAAGTTCAGATACCTGGGATGATGGACCCCGAGAGAGCACTGCAGAAACCCTTAATGTGCCTGTGCTGCAGGCTCCCGCAGACCTTCCTGCACCGCGTTACCCCTGTGCCTGCTTCTGGAAGGATGCACGAGTGTTTCTAAAGCCCTAGTGGCCGTGGCATTTTTTGTTGGTAGCCTTTGTTTACAGCGGAGGCTGCACAAACGCCTGCAGAGAAAGTGCCTGCTCTTGCCATCAGCAAAGCCTCTGGTGAGTCCCCATAGATGGTTCTGTGCATGGGTGAGCTGAGGGTGGCCTTCAGTGTGTGTTTCAGTGCCTCTCCAGAGCTTTCCACTGCRGGAGAGCTGAGCTGACCCCGGGCAGGAGGAGCTCGGATCCGATGGCTCATATTTATTCAGGCTCTTGGTGTGGTGGCCACTTTGAGGTCATTCCGTGTGTCCCGCTTCTGCAGAGCTCGGGAACACGACTGCTGTGCCTAGCAGAGCGCTCCTGCTGCCGGTGTCCATGCCGGTGCCCAGCCCTCACCGGATCATCCGGGTTGAGTTGTTAAGAACGGACTCAGATATATTTAATTCGTTAGTAGTGAAACAGTGCGGGGTGATCAAGGTGACTGGCAGAAAATTGAGAAATAAACCTTGAATATGTAAATAATACTTTTTTTCCCCAGCTTTTTGGCTGCTTGGTATCTGCTCCTTTTTTGTAGATATTAAATCATGTGAATAAGAAAAATAATCTTTGCAATGTTTGGATTTTTTATCATAAACATAACAATTTTTTAATTGTTTACAGGCTGCAGTTTTTAAAGTTGTGTCAGATTCCTTTTTTTTTTTTTAGTGATTCTGAGAGTATAAAAGTAGGATTGAGTTAAAAACAGAACTTAGGAACTTTGCTACCTCATTACTCAGTACCTTATTGACAGAATTTCTTACTAAATTGTACTAATGTTTGTTTAAGAGCTCCAATATAGTAAAAACACATGACTGACTATAAAAGATTTTTTTAAAATGGGAAAAAATGTTTGTGAATTACTTGCTRATTTGTTCTTTTATGTGTAAGACAACTGCTGAAAGACTAATTTTTCTTTAGGACAGTCTCTGCACTCTGTATGTGGTGCATTTTTAATTTTTTTTTTTTAAAGAGAAGCAGAAGAGCAACAAATGAGCATTTGTTTGAGGATAGCTCAGAAGTGTAGGCTGTTTGGCTGAAGCAGGTGAATGTCAGTGTAGCAACATTTTGTGAATTTAGGGTGTCTAGTGCTTTAAGTGGTAGAACAATCTCCTTGTTTGTTTGACACAGTGAGGAGAGGAAGTAAAATTGTGATCAGTTGAGCAGATTATAGTTTTTGAACCCTAACTCTTATATCTTCTGATAATATTCAGCATGTGTTGCCTGCTTTTTAAGCAAACTATTCTGTTATATGCACTACTTAGGGTGTCTCATTTAAATAGTTTTCTTACAGTAATTTTGTCCACGTTTTTCTGGAAGTCTAGAAGGCTCTTTTTTTCCCCCCCACAAGTTGCTGCTTTGAAATCTGATTCCCGGGATGATGCTGAGGAATGCTGTGTAGCAGCATTCTTTGTATCAGCTTCTCCCCAAGGCTTCTTTCAGGCAGCTGCTTGGGAAAAGGCCAACCAACAATGCAGCGGTTTTGTGTCGTCATTCAGGCTTTCTTCCCGTCTCTTGGGTTAGCACAGGGATCTCCTAAATCTGTAACAAACATCAGCGTTTC